AATACTTAATTATTTCTTTTGCTTTTCATTGTAAAGTATTTTAGTTGATCAATTCTTAAAGCATTAAACTAAAATAAAAAATGCCATAAAGAATCACTCATCCTTTTTGTTATGAGGTTCTATATTTTAACAACTTAAATGATTAGCTAAAAGACATTGGGATAAAAAAAAACAGTAATGCTTGAAGGGAAATCAATCAAAATATTTATAATTGTGAAAAATGCTTTATCTTTAAAAGACAACTAATATCGATGACTATAAGAAGAGTAAGTAATATTCCAAGTTTTGTTTGACTAATTTAACTCTTCTGTGTTCTTGATGTTAACATAATGTTTCAGCCAGTCTAATCTTTAAACGTTATTACTATATCTAATGTTGCTGAAATGGATTAATCCAATTGATATATTAACAACTGTTTTTCTGTCAGCATTTTCTGAAAAAATAGGTTCCCCACCCTTTTTCTTGTGAATCATATAGCTTAATAGATCATGGTAACAAGAAGAGCACAAATAAAGAATTCAAAATTTGGAACTTTGATATTATATTAAAGTAATTGGCAATTTGGTATGGAATTAATTTTAATGTCATATATAAAATGATTTCGGAAAAGTTTTATGTCATTAGAAAAATAGTGCTTCGTTTTTTTCAAAGAAGAAAAAAGAAATGTATGATCTCTACATAAATAAGTTTAAATCCCTAAAAAAAAAATGCAACGAAGATTGGACATAAAGGTATCCATAAAACTTGGATTCATATATAGGTTTAGTGAATTATTTTATCTTATTGATAGTTTTTATATATATATATATAAAAATTATATTTTTACCATATACTGTATACAGTTGCGTATCATGTGACTTTTGAAGACATAATTTTAAAGCTAATTTTAAGGAGGTCACATCATATATAAGATATAAAATTAGCATATGTACTTATATATATATAAACATTCACACACACAAAAAAAAAAAATATTGAAGGATAGCATATCATCTCAGGCGTTGAAGAAAACATTTGTAAAGTTAATGTGTTAGTCTTAATTTCTAAAATCCCATAAAAAAACCCCAAAAAACTCAGAATATTAATCTATAAAGTTGCAATGTGGTGACATCTGAATGTTGATTGCATTGTTGTGAGCTGGATTAGAAGCAGTTAGCATTAACAATATCTCTCTATATTTTTCTCTCTGTAAGAATATAAAATTAATGGTTGATTATCTATTACTATTTCTGTTATATACATATACATACATATATATATATATATATATATATATATATATATATATATATATATATATATATATATATATATATATATAAGATATAAGTCTATAGGTTATATATACTAAGTGAATTAAACAATATATAATAGTTGCATCAATATATAATATATTACAATAATATTATAAATACAATAATAGCAAAATCCACTAAAATATTATATCCACCCAGTGATTGTGTTATAGCAAACTGAGTAATAGATTTTCATATTGTATTAATAACATTATTATTATATTTAAGATCTGTCACCTTTGGCAGTGAACCCTCAGTTTATTTTATATTTTAAGCTTTAGCTCATATTTTTACTATTTGTGTGTATACATACATACATGTGCACATTATATATATATATATATATATATATATATATATATATATATATATATAATGTAGTGTCTTTTCAGTATAGTGTATGCTATCAAAATAGTCTATCTGTGTAAAGTATGTTTAATAATGTGATGTTTGTAGCTGAAGTAGTTCATGTGCGACACTTGAAAAGTGAATGTGGAAACCATTATTTCATCAATAGTTTCTTATCATATTCATCATTTTTGTTTACATTTTCATTAGCAGAATCCAGTTGAACTTTTGTATCAATAAGTCTTTTTTTTCCTTTTGTAAGTATTTCTAAAGATTTATTACCATATTACAATGTTTTGAAAGGTGCAATTTTGTGTGTCTACAAGATTTATCGAGCCAATGTAAGTCATCAGTACCTTATAATGGTCATAAACCAGACTGATTTTATAACCCTTTATGGTTGTTTTTCTTTGCAGCATAGCAACTAATATTATTTTTTGTCTATGTTTTAATTGGCTAGTGTGTTTCTCAGCTTTGAAATCTTGTACCCTAAAAGTGCTCAAAGCTTTAAATTACACATTATAATTCTTGATTCTTTTATAGCAATAAATATAACAAAAATAGTTTATGCCTAGCAAAAATTACTGAAGTACAAGGCAAATTGATTATTGTTAATTAACATTCAATATTATAAAAAAATGTCAGTAATTAATGCTTTTTATGTCATTTTTTAAAAAAAATATTTTTTTAATCAGTATCACCGATTGCAAGGCAGTAAAGCCACTAAGACACAAAAGATGTAGAATAATTAGGAACAGAGACATTAATAATGAATGGGAAGAGGAAAGAGTAATTAAGAGGTCAGTAGATAACGATTGAAATTGTATTTAAATTTTTGCAGATTAAAGTTGGCTGGAAAGCATGAAGCTGGAATGGAGTTCCACAATATATTTAAAATAGATGTAATATCTGTTTATAAATTCAATAACATCTATCTTATCCTGATAAACTACAAATTTGAGATAAGACTCATTCAATTTTTTATTTATTCTCTATAACAATAATTATAGAAATTAAAAGTTGAATGTGTTTGTTTCAAAATTCTATGAAGTTAGTGTAACATATATAACCTTCATTCAAATTATATTTAAATCTGTGACCTATTATATATTGTATTTTTTTTTCTGTTCAAAAGATTTCAATTTTAACTGGGCTTAATCTTTTTGAATAGAGTCTATTTTGCCTGTCTTGGTAAAATAAACACCAAGGCTGTGCTGGTGGTGTCATGGATAATGCCTCAGAATTGTTAATCAGAGAGCTGAGTTCAAATTCAGGTTTGTTATATTCACTTATGTACAAATGCCCTTGGGAAAGGTATGAATCCACCTCTTCTCCCCCCCCAACTATTAGTTAATTCTTGTATCACTAAACCATTATTATCTCCAAGAAAAAAATTTAAAATTGCATACAAAATATTTAGATTTCAGTATTAAATGACCCATAGAGGTTTATATGCTGCTATATAAAAACAAACATAAACTAGAATCAGCTACATGTAATTTAAATAATGCATATGAAGACAGTGTTTATGATAAATGCGTGCTCTTAAGATTTTGTCATTGCATGTTTTCAAATTGATGTTCATTTTGATCCAGACATTGAATTGAATCACAAGCAGCAATCAATATTTCAATAGGTTTCTTGGACTTCTGTGAAAACTTTCCATCTTTTATTTCTTCACAGAGTGTAATTGATATCCATGGTCTTCCATAACGGTTCTTGTGCCCATCATACACAGGAATCATCAGCTTCAAAATTATCTCTAATTTGTGAGATTGGAAGCCGCATGGGTGAATCCAAATAAAACTCTCTTCGATACCATCTTTGAACTTCAGCAGCATTTTTATACTTCCAGTAGCATTTTAGGATGAACTTTCTTTGTTCAACGTTAAGCCTGGGTGACATTAGTATGACTAACATGTCAATCTGAAAAGAAAGCAAACTGACTTGAGCGATACATTGTAAAAGTGTGTATACATTTGAGACACCCTCTGTGTGTGTGTGTGTGTGTGTGTATATATATATATATATATATATATACACAGTTTGGAGTACTTAAAGTACAAAAGATCTTCTTCAGAGAAGGATGAATTGATTAAAAAAGAATTATTATTTTCTGTTGAAGTGATTTTTGATAGAAGTATGAATTGTACAGAAAAACTTTAAGAACTATTGGATAACCTACAGCTTACCCAACTTCTTTCAGCTTCTCAACCCCTTTGTCATTGTTTTTATTATTGTTGTTTTAAATATTCTACATTGTGATAGCAGTAGATTTGTTAAGAAAGCCAAGCTGTATATCTAGACACATCAGTCAGTTATGTACCATGCATGATACATGCTTAGGCGATTATGTATCTTTCGATACATGACTAATGAGGCAGATTTTTTTTTTTTTGCAGTAGGTTGCCATTTCTTTCTGCGGTAGACCAGTTGCCATCCAAGGCTATAGAACCCGGTCTATCCCGCTATTTATCCATATCGCCGGGGGGGGGAGAAGAGGACTCATATCTTTCCCAATGTTATTAGCATGTAAGTGAATATAATGGATTCGACTGGAATTCGAACTCAGCTCTCCGATTCCTCAATCCGAGTCGATATCCATTGCTCCACCATTGGATACCATAAATTTAAAATTCAGCATCCCTATTTCTTCAACATTTCTGCTTGATATATAATTATAGCCAATATTAATGTTTATATTTTTACCCTTTTCCCCTACATATATAATTTCATTAATAAAAACATTATTTTAGTTCAATGTTTCCTTTTGATAGACGAAATACATTACATAGAATTTTTTTTCCATTTTATCATTGAACTCCTATCTATCCACAACATAAATTACAGCAAAATATTTTAAAGTTTTCTAAGTGCTTCTCAAACAAAACTGACATTTTATCAGCTCTGTAGATTCTTCTGTAAATTTTTACTCTAAAAAACTGAAGAAAATTTATTGAGAATTATTTCTCTGCAGACATTGTTAATTTGCATAAGATATTGGTAAGGAACCCAGACTATTTTGTATTGTTTGATAATTGCTGAAGGAAGTACTGTTTGTGTTTGTTTTGAATCTTGTCTGTATAAAATTTCCAGTGCCATGGCACTTGTTGATGCTGGAAGATTGCACCAATCAAAACATTGGGAAAGGTGATAATAGTTTTTTGTATTTTTTTCTTTTTTGTTTTTTTTTTTGTTTTATTTTAAGAAAATTATATTTCATCTGGCAAATATAAAATTTCTCTTTTTTTTTTTTCTTTTTTTTTTAAAATCTCATTCTCTTTCATTTCACTTTCGTGTCAATAATCCATTAATTTTTCTCACATTTCTTTCTCTTTCTCTCTCTCCCCCATTCAGGATGAAACCGATTCTGGTTACAGATCTGGTCCAATCCCAGAAGAAATCCTCCCCAAGAAACAGCCTAGTCAAGCAACTCTCAACAGAGAAGATCTTAAACGTAAATTACAGGAATATAACAACAATGTTTCATTTGCCAACCTCGCTATGGTAAGTACTCTCCCAAAATTCCTTCAGGGTTTCCTGCCATTTTTTTTCCTGACTCCTTTCTTTCTGTTTTGATTTTTATTGTTGGTTATGAGCAATTTGTCTCTACTTTGCTTAGCTTTGTTCAGTGTGTGACCAACTCTTAATGGTTCTGCTTTTGCTGACCAGCTGTGCAAACTGTTACCTCCACATCTCATTTATTTTTCCTTTCCTTTTTTTTTTTTTTTAAAGTAACATTGGTGTTTAATAATAAAATAAAACTCGATATTTATGTATCCAATATTTTCTGGTAAATTGTGGTTGCCAAAAATTGTCATTACATATTGATTAATGAAAGATATTTTCTTATAGAGTTGCCAATGGTTTCTTTGCATATTGTTTTTCTGTAATAAACAGGAAGCATCAAAGATTAATGTTGAAAGACAATTTTCTATATAGAGTAATGCTTTAAAAATTTACAGGTAAGTAAAATGTTAAGTTATGTGGACAATTATGGCTCTCTACTACTTCCTATCTTTTGTAGCTGTTTGTCTTTTTACCATCCCTCTCACTCCATCTTTTGTCATTCATTCAAATAAGCTCATCAGTCCACTGCCCACCCCTATCACATTTGCCTTTAATCTGTCCTGTGAGTATCAAATTTTCCAAGTCCTCTTTCCTTATATGCCCTAGAAATTTCATTTATTTGTTTCTGATTGTAAGTATAATTGTCCTTTTTGTTTCCATTTTCCTTAAAACCTTTAAACAATGAAAAAGCTTTAAGGAAAATGAACATAATAATCAGCTACTCAAGTTTAATAAGCATTTTTTTTTATTCCATTCATTTGAAGGAAAAGCTTTTAAAATTTTGACTAACAGTTTATTTTTATTATTCAAGCTATAAAGTATTCTTATTATTTTGAAAATATTCTTTAATATATCTCATTTTCATTGTCATTATTATCTAAGAAGTCTTTATCAAGAAGCCATGATAATGGTACTTTCTTTAACTCTGTTATTACTTTCTTTTATAAAGAGTTAGTAAGCAAGAGAGATAACTGGAACATAACAATATCCAATTTATTTTTTCTATAATTTTATTATACACTGATTTCTTTAGACTACTATCCACATTTTGTTATTGTCATATTCTCAAAAACCTCTCAGCTAAGATAGACATTTGAAAACAACCAGAATGCTTAACTGGGAAAAATATTGTAACAACAAAGATAAGAATATAAACCTTTATAAATTTGGTATAATAATGATAATTTCTTCATTTCAAATATTCAAACTGTGGAGTAATTGATCATGGTTAAGTGTAATTGGCAAAATATTTAACAAATGAAATTGACAAAGTTCTCAATAAACAATAAGAAAAGGAAGAAAAAGAACAGGGCAAAATAATATTAAAAAAACTAGGAAAAGCAACAGTAATAAGGCAAAAACTTTACAAAGTAAGAATGGTGTTCACACATAAGAGATACACTTAAGTGATTGTAGCATTCTGACTTCAAGACAAGAAAGAACAAAAATATGGCAGATGAGACTGAAAAGTTTTATTAGTTAGAAAGAAATCCCAGCATGCATTTGTAGGATTTTTCTAGAAATTTAGGGAGGAGGCTGTTTTTAGTAGTCATCCCACTATGAATGGAACCAACATAAACAAAAATAGTGTAATTTTGCTGGACCATTTCTTAGAATAATGAAAGCAAAATAGTTTTGAGTCAGTTGTCTGGTAAAATCAGAGAATTATTTCATTCTTTTAAAAGGTGACAGATCTGAGTTCTTCAATTTAAGAATTGTGTGTGTAGGTTAACAATTTAATAATTTAGGTTAAATCTGACTTGTAAACTGGACTGAAGAATAATAGTTTTCATCATCATCCTGAAGATTTTTTTTAAATATCTCAAAATGAAAAAAAACTTTTGGCAAGATTTAACAAGAAAAAAGGCTTCCAAAAGAATGGTTATTCCCTTGACAACAGTATTACAGTATATATTTTTGACTCCCTCAGCAATGTTTATTATTTTAATAAAACCCAAACATATGAAAATGGATTTATAGATTTTTTTTTATTCTTGAGAATTGACAACAAAGATGTTAAACACTATTTATTTACTAGCTTGCTTACATTTGCATTTATAAAGAATAATTTTATATTTACAAGATTATAAAAATATGTGAACCAACTATAATGAAATATTTATTATTTACCACTTTAAAAAAAATTAATATGAAAATAATTTTTTTATTCATAATTTTTTCATAATTTTTTCATAAATTTACAAAAATGTCTGTAAACAAGAAAATTTAAATAAACACATAACAGCAAGTAACTGTAATTATAAATCTTGAAAAAATGCATTTTTCAGGCATTTCTTTAATTCACTTTCACCACATAAATTCCCTAAAATAAGTTAAGAGCTTCTCTTCTTCTGAACCAAACATTTTTTTAATTTTAGATTTTAGGTGAAACTGCAAACAGTCAATATTTTGAGTGTGTATCTCCCTATTCATTGGGTGGATAAGGTTTTCCTTGTGTTTAATTAAAGAATGTTTTTAAATTTGACCACAAATATTGCATTATAGTAGATTTAAATAATTTTAAAATTTTTAATAAATTTTTGAATAAATGATCTTTTCAGACCTATTTCTTTATGATAAATAATAAATCTTTATAAAACGTAAATAATAAATATCGCATTGTACTTGATTAACATTTTTATAATCTTGTAAATAAACGTAACTGAGAGAATCAGAAGTGTTTACAGTAATAACTGAGTCAAAGGAATAACTGTCCTTTTGACACACTGTTTTTTTTTTTTTTTTTTGTGGGCATGAAGGTTAAACATTGTCAAACTTTTTAATTTTATTATCATTTATAATTGTTCATATCAGAATAAAAACACCATTAAAATAATTCAGAAATAAATATGTTTTCATTCATTCACTATTTAAATTTTAGTCTTAGTGTCCTGTAGTCCCTACTTGGTCATTCTTTCCTCTAATTGTGCTGCTCAACAGGAAGGCCAAGAATGGATATTTGCATGCGGCCCTTGAGCAGTTCAAATTAAATTATAAGCAGAAACATAGCATTTAAATGATGTCTGTTAATGATTCATTCAGGGGTTTTTAACAAAAATTTGGCAAAAAAAAAAATAATTTTCTTTCTTTGTTTATTAACCTTTAGCACTCTGTAGGTGCAAGCAAAATGTTAGTCCTACTAATGCAAGTTGAATTTGAATTGCTTGGTTGTGTAGTCATATCCTTCTATGGCAACACCTAAAACAATCGACTGAAATTGAGAGCTAGGCTGCTGCAATTTCAAATATATAGAACTAATATATAAAATGCTCTATTTTGAGGGGATTCTATATACAGTAAAAGGGGAAATAATATTTATAAATAATGCTAAATGTTAAAGCAAAATTAGTTCTTACAATTAGATTCTAATGTTTTTTACATTTAGGTCTCATTCAGTAGTTTAAAGAGTTTTGTTAATTTTTGGTTTTTGTCCATGCCTGCATTTATTAAAAGCTGTCTGCTTATTGGTGGAAGTAACAATATTTTTTATTTTATCTTTAATTATATTTTATTTTAAGAAATTAGTTGCTTTTAAAATAAATAAAATCTTAATTTTAATTAAAAATGTTGTCTGGTATCATCCCCAAAAAGCTACCATTGTCCCCTTCTAATGTTCTGTTATCCCCCAGAACAATGGAGACACGTTAATCTAGAACCCTAATTGTAAGTAACTTGATAACAGGCCATTCTGTCTCTCTCTCTACTTCTCTCTTAATTTCTCTTTAACATTCTTCCCCATGTTTTAAATTATATCTTTTTTTTTCTCTCATTCTCTTTCCTTATCTCTTCACAAACAAAAGTTCGTTCTTACTCTTAGTTTGTTTTATATCTCTTGAAGTTTTTTTTCTCTCTCACAAAGAAATATGACCACACTGTCCTGTTAATTCATTCCACCATGACATTCCCCTTGTCACATAATCAGCCTTTAAGTGACTCTGCTTTTTATCTCTCAGCTCCCAATTTCCATGTAGAAATTATTCTCTTTCTTTCCAGTTAAGCCTGCCTTTCTCTCTCACATATATTTGTCTATTTTGAAAGGAATTCTACTTTTAAACATATTTGATTCAAGCTCTTTGGGACACTGATATTCAATGACAGTAGTGAAGCTCAGAAAGAAAATGTAATACATAAAGAAAAAAATTGTTTGGGGAAGACACTGAAAATGTGGAACAATCCCTGAATTGGCAAGAAAGAAAAAAATGAATGTATTTTTTTTTAATTTTTTTTTCTAAAGTGAGTAAAACAAAAGAACGTTACTTACCACTTCAAGTTGGGAGTGTTGCCATAGTTACCTTAGAAACATAACTATGTTCACTTCCTTTTTTATGGAAGAGTGAAGAGGTTGATGAACCAGAAGTTGTTTGTGATTGGACAATAAAGACCAGAGGAGTTGCAGTGTGTTAAGACACTATCTTATGAGAATAGTTGTATCGGATGAATGGCACACAAGTCAATATCTGATCAGTATCAACTGGGTTACTGTAGAGGATTGGTATTATATTGTAAGACCTGAAACCCCTAATGATCCTCAGCTTAAAACATCACTGATGATGTGTGTTAAAGTATTGAACAGATGTATTTCATGTCATTGATAGCCAAGTAGGACAGAAAGACAATCAGGATGAGACTATCCTGACTTTGGAAATTTTTTTTTTCTTATATATATAAGCAAATAGAATATTTGCTTGTCTAAGTCCTGATTTGACAGGTAACTTATAGAGTTATAATTTTCTGACAGATTGTTGGTGAGGTGGGGTTGCAGCTGCCCCCTCGTCCCAAAATATGTCCCCACCTGATGAAAAAAATGTGAACTTGTTTTAGTATGCCTTCCTCTACTGAATTAAAGGACACTACCTCTCCAAATAGTCTAGTGACAGGCCTGTCGTGGGAATCCCCAAAAGGAGAGTGTGTATGTTCTTACATGAAAAATTTATCAT